AGATGGGACTGACTATCTTGAAAATAACTAAAATGGAAATAATTGTTACTGTATAAATCATTGTTGGATTTAACCTGACAGCTTATTAATTGATTTAGTTTGCTCAATTCACCTGACTCCAGATGGTCCATAAAGTAAATGTAGCACATTGTATTAGGTCTAGACACAAAGCTTCTACAACATGAATCAATATACAGTACTTTCCACAGAAAGATCCCAAGAAGAGATTCTATGGTATAGGAAAAATGGCACTTGCAGAAGCATTCTGTCAAATACTTGGCTCCTAAATCATTACAGGATTTTAAAGGTAGACACTAAATAGTGCCCAGAGGCAAATAAGCAGATAGAACAGTTTGTTCAGAAATCATGTAATAATTGATAGTATGCTTCTCCTTGGCTGTTTAAATTACAATTATCGTTATAGCATTCTGAGTTAGTAAAGATTATTGGTTGTTTTCAAGGGAAGCCCCACATATAACACATTACACTAATCAAATGAAGAAATTAACAGAACAGAAAATACTATGACCAAGCTGTCTCCAGTTGTACGCTCACAAACAAACAAGCCCTCCTATCCATTTAGACCACAAGTCTCAATAGCACCATTGAGTAAAATAGCTCCTCCAATCAGTCTTAAAAACATGTCTATTGGTATTTTTGTGTTGTAAAATTTAATGTTAATAGCAGAAATTAAATTGCAATATGATTTCTAAAGTTTGTTTTGTTTTGCATTTTCTATTAGATGACTGTCACAAAGGAATAGACGTAGTCTAATAAAGCAAGCCAAATAGATATCATGAATATTCAGTAAATTACTAGATTAAGTTTCTGCTCTGCTTAAAATTGCAACAGTATCCTCCATTTCCAAGACCATCTTTCCCAGTAAAGATACTCATTGTATCTTTTTTAACTCCAATATACAATGTAGGTAAACTGTGAATTTGGTTCATTAAATTCTGATCTCAACTAGGTGTCAGTGTTCCAGAAAAAAATCCTAGGTTTGTAGTAGGTTTGAAAAAACTATAGTTTGGTGGCTACATGCCACAGACTAAATCAAAATTTAACAAGCCATATTATGGCTTAACATTTTAAGCTACCATGAAAGCCTTACAAATCTTTTTTATAGCCAAATCTCATATAATTCAATTTATTTGGATATGGATTAAAACATGAACTCGGTAATTAGAGCAAATGTACCACAGTACTTGAATCAGATTTATACCATAAGAAATTACAGGCAAAAGCAATATGTAACAATTATAACAATATGTAATTTTCTTCTGAAAAACAGGTGATTTTTAAGGGGTCATATGTATCAAGGCAGCCATTCTGAAAGAATCTATTGCCTACTTTCAAATGTGTGTCTAAGCACAAAAAGTTACCTATACCTTTAAAAAGCATCAGACCATCAACCCTGCGGTCTGTATTTCTTATTCTCTTAAAGTTAATATTTAATTTCATAATATAATTGGATTTAGTTACCAATATATTTCTCCATTATGCTTTTAGGCATTCAAAAGCTTTAGCTACCTTTTAAGCAAATGCTGCAAATTTAATCTAGATTATCAAATATTGTCCCTTAAACAGTTTCTGACTACATTTACTCAGTCCACTCCGCCCTTTGCTTTGTTGTAGCTATGTATCTACCTTGCCTTCAATATTCTTTTGACATAGCAAGATTAAATGCATTCTTTCTTCAAAGTCTTCTAAGTCTAACTCCAAAATAAAATGACTCAAGTCTATATTCATCTCTTAATTTCAATTTTCACAAGACAGTTTTTAACTGGATGTGTTTCAAATACAAATTAAATACAATGCCAAAGATACTTAACTAGGTCTGCATTCAAAATAAGCTATTATTAAAAGTGTTTCTCTAAATGTATGTGGCTCTACACCTTAAATTCTCAAAAATATAAATATTATTAGCCAAATATATGAATTTACTTCAAAAACATATTGTTTCAAAATAAAGTTATATCTATCTTATTAGGCAAAAGCTATGTTTCAAGCCTTTCATTTCTACGACTGTGACAGTATTTTATTAATTTTAAAATTAAGTTTATTAATTTTTAACTACACCTAATCTAAATCCATCCTTTAAGATATTTTACATGTTTTTCTCAGCAGTAATTTCATTATGAAGTATGTATTTTCTTACAAAACAAAATCCAGAAAGAATGAAGGGTAAACAAATTCATTTTCCTAGCAGTTGGCATTAAAACAAAACAAAGGAATATAAACATGCTCTTTGGAAGGGGGGTGGGTGGAACCCTAAGTACAAGATATCCTAAATCTATTTATCTAAGGTCTGAACTTCATCTAGTACTAATCTCAGAAGAAATACTTTTGTCTGCAAATTTCCTCCAAAACCACCAAGGAACACAAAGGTTATGTTTAGATCTTAGTATTTTTTTATTGAACATTACTACACAGAGTCAAAAAACAAAACCCAGGCACCAATTTTAAATTAATTTTTTTTAAAAAATCTTGGGGTGACTTCTGGTGAGCATTCGTAGTGAACTAGAAATCCCTGAAGGAGCTGGGACAGAATTGCAACATATATCAGTGGCTTGACAGCAAAACTCTCTCCAGAAAAAGCAGAGATCACAACCACTTGTTCTCCAGACAGCTGTTTCTCATGAACAAACTGCAGAAACTGATGTTTTTGTGGTCAACTTGTAAGTTGAGGGGCTGGGAGCAGAGGATTTCAAGCAGCTCACAGCCATAATGCAGCCTATATGGATCTAAGGTTTGCCAAGCCTCATTTCTTAATCACTTTTGGAAATTGCTTTAACTGCTTTCAAGTATTAGGAATCTTTGCAGTGACAGGTTTTAGAGCACTGGGTGAGTTTCCTTCAATTTTTAGCAAACGCTTTAAATGCAAGGATCTCATTTTTTTCCCTTTTGGAATAAACAGCAAATGGATGATTAGAATGTTGATTTTGGAAAGTTACAAAAGGATTAAGGTCCAGATAGGATTTAAAATAAGATTTTGAAAATAATTATAAAAATTCTTCCTGTGAGAAAATGGTGTTGTTTTGAATTCTTTAAAAAGAAGAAGAAAGGACTTTGAAAGTTGACTACCAGAGAGAACTACAAGAAACTGAAGATTACAATTAAAGAAGAAAAACACTTTCACTAATGCAATAGAATAGAGCAAAATACATTAAGTGGATACATTTAAGATATTTCTGAAGAATGGATCCAAAATTTAATTTTAATAGTGTCTGTCATTATAGACAGACTATGTTTAAAAAATGTTACAGCTGAAGAACAAGTTTTACCAGACAAGACATTCCTGATTTGAAAATGAATTTAAAAATGAGAGCTAGAAGAATGATATGGAAAAAGATGCTACACTGGATATACAAATAAAACCGGTTGATGCCTTAATTAATTAAAAGAGGTATACAAAAAACAAATCAAAAGAGTGATCTGGATAATTTTCTTAAATTGGTTATACAAAGGTAACTTGCTAAAGTCTTAAAGTACATCAAGTTCTAGGACAGTCTTAGAAGAGATTAAAAATCAACTGTGAAAAGAAAGGAATATAATTTTTTTCTTAAATTTAAATGTCACCCATATCACTGTTGAAGCAACTCTGGGCAGCTTACAGAATGATAAAAAAAATAATTTAAAAACATTTAAATTAACAAGTTGGTTTATTTGATCAAGGTTAAAACCGATTCACAGTTATCTATGGACCCTTAATGGACTTAACTAGAACTAAACAATTAAGCTTTAAAGATTTATTTATAGATGAGATAAAATATGGGGGAAAAAGATCAGCTATTGTATTTTAAGAGAAGGTGATGAATTACTAAAATTGTTTATACTTATTATGAAGGGAAAAATCATTTGTTTATATATTTCTTTTATTATATTCTTTTCTTCCCACTTTTCTGCACTTTCTATTTTTTTTAGTTTGTATTAGTTTTTATTGTAATGTTTAATACAATTACAAAAAAAACATTAAAAAAACCCTGAAATCTTTACAACATGTCACATAAGGGACTTCCAATCATTCACATTTTATCTAATGTAGTGAAACAGAGAAAAAAGTAAGTTACAATTTATTTAATGATTTCCAGTAATTATCAATAGGAAGCATGGAGATTTCAACTTTGTAAATAATATTCAAATATTATGCATGTATAAATATACATATATACCTACAAACATATACCGTTTACACACAAATAAAGTTGTTGTGCAGATGAGTGCTTACAAATATGCTCATCTGCACAACAATTTTATAATTTATTTGTTCAATTCCTATGGCCACCTATCTTAGTCAATGACTCTGGGTAGCTTACAATATAATATTTCATATATATATTATACAGTGGAATCAAACTACAGCTATTACAAATCTATATAAAGGATCTTATTCATATGATCCTTGATTTTCCTATCTTTTAATATTCCACAATATATTTATAACCACAACCAAAATATTGGGGAAGTGTTATATTGCTAGAAAATTATGGTTATGTTGTGCTGCTATTATTACCATGGAGAAAACATGAAATTCTATACTAGTTTTTAAAAAGCTACAGTTCTTGTCAAACATTGGCTTAATATTAGGTTCTCTGTAAGAAAGCCCACCAGTAAAACATGATCATTAGATATCTTTATTACATCTTCCTGCATGGCAAGTAATATTTTCTCTTCACTACAGTATTGTCCAACAAATGTTTCACTTTAATAACTCTTATGATTTAATTGCCTACAACTTCAGAATAAAAAAATCTAGAATTTTTAAATTGTATGGGTAATGAATGAGAATAAAGCAACCTTTCAAACTCTGTCACTCATATTAAATATTTTGCTTCATCATTCCTAGAAATCCCATTAAAAAAAGAACTAATCTCTCTAGAACACTTATTTTTCTAAGTGTTTATTATTTCCTGCCAATAATTGTTAGGGAAAAGAATTTAAACTTAAAATATTGATTTTAACATTTTTAAATTTAAAAAAGTTTTCATTTAAATAAATACCTGAGGAAGTGCAGTATTAAGCTGTCGTTGTAGAGAATCCCTCTCATGACCAACTTCATGTAGTTTACCCTGGGTCAATGCAAGTGTCTCTTGAGTTTCTCGCAATGTGTCCAAGAGGCGATCACGCTCTTCCAACATGGATACCATTAATTGCTCAAAATGGGAATCAGCATCCGACTGAAGGGGAGAACCTGAACCACGGTTTCCACTTCCCCCTGAGGGAATCTCTGCCTCACTGATGGTCGGCATCACTTCACACATCATCTTGAAATTAATGTTAAGATTAATTATGAAACCATAAAAATACCAATTCAAATTGATTAGCAAAACTAAGATGCTACAATGTTATCTAGCTACGAGCATCCAATTATACTTATTTGAATTTGTCACAATTTTATTACAAATTTACAGTACCAGACATGTGTGTGCAAAATATAACTTGATAAAACTTCCCTATAGTTGTCCATGGTAAAGTTCACTTGACATGGATAATTGTTTAAAATTCTAACTTACCTTAGTAGGTGCTAAAGAAAAGTATAGGGGGGTAGACCTTTATCTGATTCCAGCATGTTTATGGGTAAGTACAGACATTCTAATTGCATTAATAATTGCTAGTACAGAAAATGCATCAGTAGCATTATTGCAGATAGATTAATTTGAATAAAATGCATTCAGCAAAAGGCATAACAAGAATAAAGCAAACTTGCTTATTCATGTGACTATTAATCAACCATCATAGTCCACTGGAACAAAATGGGGTATTTAAAAGATTCTTCTAATTGCTTTAATTAATTTTTAAACTTTTACTACCTACTTCCATTTCTCTGAGCTTGGGGGGGGGGGGGAGAGAGCTTGAATTAAGATGTATGGGAATTTAAACTCTTTGGTACAGCATTAGAAAAAGCCTTAATAAGTTTCCTGAAGTGAGTCATTAAAAAAGGGAAACAGCTCCTCTTTATTAAAGGCCACCAAATTTGTTTCAAAGTTTTTTACCCTTTACAGTTTGTAATTATTGAGCTAAACGTAAACAATTTTTCTCCATTCCAATTTGAGTTGTCATATTTTAAAAGCTATATAATAAAACGAGAATGAGTTTAATCATTTAAAACTAAACAATGTAACCAGCACTGACCTAACATGTTCAGAATGGACTCCTTTGTTATTTTATTCTAGTAATCCGTCACACCTCACAATCATAAAGTGTTTACTGTGCAAGCTTCAAGTGATCCACTTACCTTGTTTGATAAAAGAGGTTTGTCAAGAGAGATCAATTTTTCCCAATGATATCAGCTTTTTTCAGCAAGTTTGCATAACGATTTCCAAAAGCATTTGAAATGGTAGAGCAGCCATCCACCCTGACTACAATGTTCATTCATTAAATAATCCCCACCTTGGGTAGTCACACAAGGCAATAAGTAATCTTCCTAACAAAAGATAAGCCAACAGGAGGATCAATTAATCTAGTTTTCCGCAGTAAGCAAAAGGTTAAATCAACGTATGTTATACTAAGCTCCCTTATTCGAAGCCTGGTCCACAAGTCTTTTTTTTCCCCCAAAGATGAGAAGTTATGTGGGGAAGAAAAGAAAAAAAAAAGACCGAATGCTTTCTCAAGGTCTTTGGGCCGGCAAATTGTGCATGATGTAGAAATCTTACTTTAGGTCACAAAGGCATTTACTTCAACAACAACAACAACAACAAAAGAAGTAGCTGAAGCTGTTATAGTTCTGACGGAGGCAGTCCTCTCTTCCGCCTCTTAAGTTTCCGTGTCTTCTCCCGTGCATTTATAATTCCTCTTTTTTTGGGGTGGGCGTGGGGGGATGTTGCTGCGAAAGGAAAGCTTCAAAAGCAGAGCCAAGATCCAAAGACCGTCCTTGGGATGTGGGTGCCAACCATTATCCTTCCGTTCTTCCACGGGGAGGCAGGAGCTCTCCGCGCCGCCACCTTCACGAGGCAGGAAGAGTTAAACGGAGCACCAGAAAAGCGGAGAAAAAGTTGCGAGGACCGGGGTGAAGAGCCCCGAGGGAACCTCTTCGGAGTTTCGCCCCTCACACACACACACGCACCCCTCACCGGGAAGCCGCGCCAAGACTTTCCTGGGTCGAGGGCTGCTTTTTCGGAGGCCTCAGGGGATCCACCGCGCCAGAGAGGAGTTTTGCGCTCCGCTTCTCGCTCTCAACTTCGGCCTTCTCTGCCCAGGTAGCTCCGCCTCCTGACTCCACATCCCCATCCGAGGTAGCTAAATTCGGAGATGCTCCCAAAAGGCTCTCCCGAGTCCCCAACGACGGGCGGCGGAGGCGGAGGCGGCGGCGACGGCGAATCGGGCCCGGGAGAGCGCTTGCAGGGAAGGCTTGAGAAGCTCCAGGAGGCGATGGGGGTGCCTGTTTCCAGCCGGGCCCTCGATCGCCGCTCGGAGTTTGGCCGCCGCCTCCCGTGGTTCCCGACAGGCTTTGCGGCTTCAACATACAACGGCGTGGACCACAATGCAGCGCGGCGGGGCCTTCGTCTCGCCCTGGAAGGCGAAGGGGACGTTACTTTCCCCCCCCCCATCCCTCAGCGAAGTCAGACTATATATATTTTTAGGGGGGGGGGCGACCGTTGGTTTTAGGGCACCGGCGGCAGGCTCGTGTCTCCTCCTGAGAGCTGGAAGACGAAGCTGGCCGCGGTCTCTCTCTCTCTCTCTCTGAGGGACAAGAGAAAAGAATAGCCCCGTGTGTGGGCATAGCTGGGAAGTAGGTCCGTCAAACACGGAGGTCCTTCTCCTAAATAAACAACACGTGTGCAGTACTAATTGAAAGGCCACGTTCCCCCTTCCTCCTCTCCCCGCTCCACGTCTTCAACGGTCCCAAGGGAGTCCTTACCGAGAGCTGCCCCAGGAGGCTTGACTCTTGGCTTCTTGCCAGTTTTTTTCTCACCATCCAGAGCTGCTGAAGTTTCCTGGATGAGAAGTCTTCAAAGAAAAAAAAAAAAAAACCAGAAAGTCCAGTTGCCTCTTTTTTTAAAAAAAAAGCACCGTTGCCAATAATAAGGGGAATAGCTTAGACTTAGAATAACTTTATTGTCACTTTGAATGTACGCTAATCGGCATACATTAAAATTAAATTTCGTTGCACGCAGCTCTCAAAAGGTTCGCCCTCTCCAATATACGCTACATATGCATGACAAAATAAATATAAAATTATACATATATATTATATTACATATATGACACATATGTCCACATATATGACATAGAGAAACAAAAAGTTTAGCTCTCATATATCCATTGTACATGGCGAGAAAAATGAATCTTTCGAGTTGACCAGACGGATGGCATAGGGAACAAACAGCTGTTACAGAATCTGGTGGTCCTGCTAGAAATACTTTGAAACCTCTATCCATGGGGAGCGCAAATGAAGGGGGTGGGGAGAGAAACTTGGAAGCCTCTGCGAGGAGAACTGCACTTTCTGAGAACATGAGTTTAGCAATTTGGAGAAAGGCAAGGAGGAGAGACTACTCGACCGGTTAATATGTTACAGAGTGAGAAAGGTTTGGCTGCTCCGGTTACTTAACAAATAGTTACAGTTAAATCGGGAGCCTTAGAAAGTCACCTTTGGATGAATTTGTTCACCTTGGTGAATGCACAGATAATGTAGTTTGCTAATCAAGTGTCAAAGAAGAATTCCAAAAAGGACTGACAATTCATATGTATCTCTCTGTAGAAAAATGCTTCTTTGTGAGAAGCAAATTGGACCTATTTTTGAGTAAATGTAGCTAGCTTTCAACTAATAGTTTTATTACTCATAAAAATAGCATTCCCCCCCCCTTAACTTTTGCCCTTTGGGAAAATAAACTTTTATTGAGTTCACAAACAGGATACTTGCTGCTACTGCTGCTTGCTAAGTAGCAAGTATAGATTGTACTAAGGGAACAATCTACTTACCTTTACTACCTGTTCGCAATGGGGCCGCACGTTGTGTAAAATTAGTCGCCCTTACTTACATACAAAATAATAACTATATTCTGTTCCATTAAAGAACATTAATAATTTTCTAGTAGAAACTTTCATGGATTGAACTTCAGTCAAGTTCAGGCACAACAACCAATCTAAGACCAGCTCTCACCAAGCTGCACCAATTGGAAACTCGCTTGACTAAAGACCAATAAACTGTCAAATATCCGGCTATAAATACAGGAGCCGAATCAATCCTTATTTAGTTGCTTGTGTTCTACATAGTGGACAACCTTGCTTCTGAAGATGCCAGCCACTATTGCTGGCAAAATGTCAGGAATTCTGTCTAGCCTACAGGCATTAATTCTGAAGCTTAACATTGCCCAATATTAATAAATATTTTTAAAGAACAAATTGAACTCTGACAGAATCTTACTATCCTGTCTTTCTGTTGAAAGAACATACATCTCCTTCCAGAAATGCATAATCACACTTTTTGAATAATCCAGGCACAAATAATCCAGTATTCAACCCTGTTTGTAAATGGATAAATTCTAAATGTCTAGGATATAGTTTAACAATGTTAATTTCTTTAAACCTTACTATTTAGGAAATGGCATTTGTAATTACTGTACCTTAAATATTCAAAGCTCATTAATAAATGTATGAAACCTAGAATATAGGAGAAAAAAATCATTGCCAAATAGGATAGCAGTTGCTATTTGAATACTGTCATGGATAATGGAAAAGAACCAGTTCAGTTGCAATAGTGTTGTGGATTTGACCAACCCAATAGAATTATATCTACATAGATGTAGTGGAATACCTTAAGATTCTTTCTTGGGTCCAGTGCTCTTGAACATCTTCATAAATTACCTCGATGTGGGGTCTGAATGGGTGTTTATCATATTTGTACATGTCATTAAGCTGAGGGGAACTGCAACACTTTGGAAGATAGACTCAATATTCAAAAGGACCTTGACAGACTGGAGCATTGGACCCTGTTCAACAAGATGCAGTTCAGTAGTAAGAAAAGTAAGATCCTGCACTTAGGCAGGAAAAATCAAACACTGTACATATGTACAGAATGGACAATACCTGCCCAACAGTAGTACCTGTAAGAGGAATCTAGGTGTCTTGGTGAACATTGCTTAAGTATGAACCAGCAATGCAATCCTGTATTAAAGGAAGAATAGCATAAAGAACACAAGTAGTGATAGTACTATTCTACACTGCACTAGTAAGGCCACACTTGGAATACTGTATGCAGTCCTGGTCACCATGATACAAAAAAATATGCTGAGGCCCTAGAAAGAGTGTAGAGAAGAGCAGCAAAGATTATAAGGGATCTGGAATCTAAACCGTATGATGAATAGTAAATGGGTAAGTTTAGCTTAATAGATTGAAGGCTTAGCATGACATAAGAGCTGCCTTCCAATACTTGAAGGTCTGTCACAGGGAAGGGAGAGTCGATTTATTCAAAGCACCCGAGGACAGGACAAGAAGCAATGGGTGGAAGCTAGTCAGAGAGAGATCCAACCTGGAATTAAGGAGAAATTTCCTGATGGTGAGAACAATTAGTCAATGGAATAGCTTACCTCTTTGAGTTGTGAGTACTCCATCACTGGTGGTTTTCAACCATTTGTACAGGGTGGAATAAGAACTCCTGCCTAGGGCAGAGGGTTGAATAGAAGATCTCCAAGTCTCTTCCAGCCCTATGATTCTGGCATTACATACAGTGTACTAGTTTGTGCATAATAGGCCCAATTACAGCTTTTTTGATTGGAATGCATCTACTAAAAGAGTCCAAAGAATTTTTGTACAGAATGTATATGTTCTTTAGGGCTACCAGCAGTTGGTTATTTAGTCACAATTTAGAATTAGTCCTTAACAAAATATACTGTTCTTTTTCTTCACTGTGGCCTGCTTGCCTGCCTAGCCAAAAAATGTCAGAAAGCAAGAACTGATAGCAATAAGAACTTATACCAAGAATAACCATGAGTTGCTTGGTTGTTGTCTGCCTGCCTTCTGGGTAATAATGGAGTTTGGACTTAGGACCCAATTCTCATTACTGCTCTGGAAAAAAAAAAGAACAGGCATATAGTAATGATGTCATCACTTGCTTACTCAGCCACACTTTTCACTCCTTTGTGAAGGGAAACTGATAAAAGGAGATATATCAATTACTGAAAGGTATTTTTTATTTGAACACTGCTCTTATCCTTGCAGCTAAAAATGCAGCAAGAATGTGCGGAAGCTGCCAATGCTGATAAAGAGGTAATGAGAGACTAGAGTGAAGAGTAGTGGATCTTGCTCAAAGACCTCATGAAAGCTGAATGGGAGAGAGATCCAATAGTACTATCAAATGGCTATATGAGTTAATATGAGTAAAAGAATAACAGTGTCCTAACTGTATCAGTCGATCAAAATGTAGGCTTTTATGATGCAATCAATGAGGCTCGTAGTTTTAAAAAGGGTAAGAATACATCCCTCAATGTTTTGTACCTGTATATATTTAGTGGGGATATGTAAAAGGGGTGCTTTGAAGCAGGGGTGAAATTCAGCAGGTTCTGACAGGTTCTGGAGAACCAGTAGCGGAAATTTTGAGTTGTTCGGAGAATCAGCAAATACCACCTCTGGCTGGCCCCAGAGTGGGGCGGGAATGGAGATTTTTGCAATATCCTTCCCCCAGGAGTGGGGTGGGAATGGAGATTTTGCAGTATCCTTCCCCTGCCATGCCCACCAAGCCATGCACACAGAACCGGTAGTAAAAAAAATTGAATTCCACCACTGCTTTGAAGTAGGTGAAAGTTCTTGAATTGAGACCACAGTGCCAAGTTGTTATATACTTAAAGGCAAACATTTTTTCACTGGAAACATAGGGGAAAAAATGAGCCACTCAATTGTTCTAGTTTTGCAGTAAGATATAAGAACTGTTTTCCCACAGAGAAGCACAACACTCCTGAAAGAAAGTGGGCCTAGGAACATCAGGACAAAAATAAATTTTTAAAAAACCTGAGATTTCAGGAAGCTACACAGATGGGAATAGTGGATGAAAGGGATGAGTCTACAGTTGCTCTATAGAACAAGATGTTATCAGAAGAACAACTTCAGGCTATTGTGATCCAAAGGAAAGATAAAGAGAGCTCATAAAAAAGCCAGCAGGGGGAATAAGGAGCTGTCGGATGTCCTGAAAACCAAAAAGGAAGTGAACAGGAAACAGCAGGACATACGATTACCAAAGTCCATAAGGAAAGGATTTTGTCATAATTTCACTTGAAATGTTGCTTGTACAAATTTACTTGTTTGGAACTCCTTCAAAATTAAAAAAGAGTTCATCTTTCTTAGTCTCTGTATGCCACTATTAATTACTGGATAAATTAATTAATTAGTTTTGAGGCTACCTGGCTCCATAGTGACTTTGGGCATTTTACAGTTTAAAAATTTAAATGCCATTTAAAAGAACTCAACATACATATCTAAGAAAGAATACAGCTGTTCAGAACCAAAAACCAAAAAGGCTCAGCC